ACGCCATTATAACTGAAATGAATTTCAAAAGAAGCTTCGATTCAACTGTCATTTTCTTCTCGGCGTATCCCGAGAATATTTTCAGATTATATAGTAGACATACTTTGTGGATGCTTTTCAGGTTTGAGGTTTGTGAAAAATTTTTAATGCTGAAAATTTTAGTGCTGTTGCATGGAGATATAACTGAGGTTTTAAGCATATATTCCGCGACATAGAAAAATATCTCCTCTTAACACATACGGCAAATATTAGGAGTTTTTGGTTTAGACTTTAGAGGCCATGCCTCTCTACAAATTTTACACTGATTAATAGAACATTTTTATGGAGTTGTGAAATTTATTAAAGACTTCTTATTGATTTTCTAAAATAACTCCTGGTTGCACATGATAGTTTGGCTCAGATATATTTAAGTTTTGTTTTTCAAGCATTTGAATGCCACTGTTTAATTGTTCTTTGAAATTTTGTGAACATTTGTCTGGATTAGACATATCAGATGTTTCTGTTTCATGACTTTTATTAATAAATTTTTGCAAACCTTCACAAAATTTGGGGGTTGTTTGACTGATTTGACACTTGTTTTTCTCCTCTTTCAGACTTGTTCAAACTACCTGTTACCTATACTTAGGGTGGAATCATTAGGTATCCTGGATGTAGGAGGTATCAAAAATGAACCAATCAGTCTAAATCAGATGGATTGTGTTATAATAAACATGTAACTCACATTCCAGAATATTAAAATAAAGCAAAAGATACCAGATAAATTATGAGAAAATGTATAGCTTATATGGCAAGCAAGCCAGCACCCAGATAAATGATGATAAACAAGGTATACCTTCTTTATTTTCTCATAATACATCTGGTAATATGTAATTGCTAAATATGGAAATTATCTTGTCAGTTTTACTTTTTTTTCAGTTTTTTTCTTTATTGGAGTTGATTCCATCATCTCAAGAATCTCTTCCAATATTTCTTCATTTTCAGTTGGTGGGTCTGAAGAAATACCGGAAGCTTTTTCTTCCATAGATCTCTTTTTCTTATAGTTTCCCATTAGCTTGTTGAATTGATCTCGAACACTGCGTTGATCTCGGGGATTGGTACAAAACAAATCAAAACAATTAAGATTATCAGCAACCAATGTCCATTTTTGCCCTGCCTCTTTGCTTCCAACCTTATATAGAAAAGGTTCAGACACAAAAACTTCTCGCAGAAGTAAAGTATTCTTCTCAGTGCTCCAGCGAAAGGGTCCTCTAAAACCAAGAGATATTTAGGTAAATATATATAAAAAGGCCTCATTCAATACCAAAGATATAGTTGTAATTTTGCAAGGATTAATAAATTTAGAAGTAAGTGGAGTAAATCCTAATTAAATCAGATCATGTATAACAATGGCCTGATAATTAACCCATTTTCTGGCAGTACTATACCAACGATGTGTAAAATAGTCTGACCAAAGTAAGACACATTAGGCACATTGCAGGCTAATGGGTTAATTAGTGCTAACTTTAAATAAATTGCAGTCGAATCATAACTCAGTTATAGCCTGTTTAACTTGTCTTCCATATGTGTTCTTTTATGTTAATACATTTGTGTTAAATGGAAAAAATGGGCAATCTATTGCTATCAAAAATTTCAAATTTAAATAATCCAGCATCCAAAAATGGAAACAGTTTTAAAAATACAGGAAGAAGGGGAAGTGTTTGGCTAAAAGATTTTTGGACACATAGTATATATATAATATAGGTATATAATATGATATCATTTATCTGACAAGTATATATATAATAAGATATCATGCATCAATTATATAATATTAGCATACAATATATTATATATTAATACAAAATCACATGCAATTAAATAGCAATCCATTATTGCAAAAAATCAAATTTAGTATTTTAATATACTTACGTGCAATTGCTTAAAAGTTCACCTTGTCCATCAGGTTTTTCGCTAAAACATTTAAAAAGACACATTGTTTTATTTATCAACTATAGTTATATTTTCTTTATAAAATGTTCTGTTTTTAGCTCAAGCTCGCCTCAAGGACACTTTAATACTAATATAACTTTTAAAAGAAATAGTTTTTGACATCAGCTGCCAAAAAACATCACAAAATTAAAACTTATGAACCTACAGACAACATACAAACGGTGACCAAAACAATCTACCTGTTTTTTTCCATGTTTCTTATAGGCTTTTGTAGCGTTAAAATTTCTGTCAATATAATATAAATCAATCTTAGACACAGGTGAACTTTGTTTTAGACAATATGTTTCAATGAAACACAGTTTAAACTAAAAAAATAAAAACTATAAAGGAAAACTTACCTACGTACTCGTGACTACGAAAAAAACCTCGAAACCCGTCGTTGCGAGCGGGAACACAACGAACTACGCGAGCATGATTAGTCACGAGCATGCGCAATACACCTCGACCCGGTTTTCTCCCGTCCGCGCTCGTTGTTCGTTGTCCGTAGTCACCAATCTTAAAGTCGCTATTGTGAGTGTGATGACTGTGTGGTTAATAGTGCACAAAATAATGAAGACACCCCTATGAAAAGCAAATATGAAAGGAATGTTAATGACAAACATTTATCTATATGTACATGTAGCAAAACATCATTGACTGACATTGAAAAAGTAGCATTACATGATGCCTTGGTAAATTATCGATTAAGTCTACATGGATCTGGGCCTTCTTGTGTTGGTGGAGTGAGCTTGGCCACTGGTTTCAGTGTTGATCTTATTGATATGATTGTACAAAATGCCAAAGAACTCACATCTATTGAAGAGATAAAAGAAAAATTACCAATATTTGATGATGAACATGCCAAGAACATTTTTGCTATTCTTTCTGAACTTAACAGAGGTAAATTTCCCCCTTTATAAATAACTCTATTCACATTTATATAAGAGCATATTGTTCCTTAATAAGTTACTGTATATGTAAACAACGAGTTTGATCCAACACAAGAAAAACAGTATGAAAAACAAGGACAAAGTGCAAGTTTTTTTATCATTTTGAGGGGTTTGGAACACCTAATGAGACACTACAAACGAGTTGTTTACACAACATCTCAAACTAATATGTATTTTGAAAGAAAACTGAGGTGAAAGTTGGCTTAATTTATGTAAGTTCTTCCTAGCTAGGTATTCAACAACAATTTTTTTTGTGTTTTTCTCATGAATTACTATAAGTTTTAGATATATAATTATATATATCAAATATTGCACACATGCTGAATAAATGTAATGAATTATTAATAACCTCATTGAAATCTTAATCATCTTCAACATCATTCTCCAAATCTAAATCTTCATCCATACTGTTATCATCAACATCATCATCACAATTTGATAATGTATCCCTTGCCAAACGTTTCTTATGTCTTGTTAGCCACGTGTGTAACAAAGATGTATCAAGATTATTAAGCAGACTTTGTTGTATACTTAAAAATGCCTGTAAATTTATTTTTGGAGTATGTTTGAATGGATTGAGAGGTTTAATTATCCTGACCATCTCTATTATGTCTTCTTTGGTAGAGGCATGGGTATGGCTGGTTGAATCTGGTGGAACACTGTTCATTTCATAAGCATCAACAATCTTTTTTATGCCATGTGAAGCCTTTGTACTTCTTTCAACAGCCTTGAGAGTCTTGTTTCCACACATCCCTTTAAGCATCACTTTGTGATTCTTGATCATCATTTCCATTGCAAGGTCATTTGCACAATTTTTTCCCAATCCACCTTTAAGATTGACAAATTGACCATGAATGAGACGATGAGCTGTTCTCTCTGTACAAAGAGCTTTGATGAGTGGTATCACACGCATTGCCTCAAAGCATATTTAGTGTCTCTCTTTCGAGCACGAAAGTACAACATCAATAGTTTCCAGTTAATGATACTTTGCTCACCATCCCCTTCTTTTTCCGTATCATTTAATTGCATTAGCATTATGCCCAGTTGGATTCACTGGGAAGCATAATTAAAAAGTCTGTCTTCATCAGGTGCACAATCAGTTGATGACTGACATGTTTTATCTTCTGTATTTGATGTGGTTTCCTTATAGGGCATGTTGGGAATGGCAATTAGCTTTCGTTGCCACAGGATAATTTCATTGATTCTTAGTCCTACATTTTGAGCATCTGGTTCAATAGAAATTACATGCACTGAAACATTCATAGTGTCTTAGTTTACAACATTAACAACTTTACCAACTCCAATAACTTTGTACCCAGATGTAGTGTTTTGGAGGACCAATATTACAACTTGACTTTTTAAAAGAAAAGAAAAATACATTTTATGTTTGCATGCAGGTTAAGAATACAACTTTGTATTATAGTTAAAGTTCTGTACCTGATAAAACTCTGGTAACGAAGATGGGACTGTACAAGTTGTTGGGATCTTTTCCTTGGCTTGAAGTTGTTTTTTCTGTTGTGTTTGCCATGATTTTTCAGCAGGAAACTCAACCATTACATATTCATCAACAAATTGGCCAATGGTATTCTTCAAAAATGTTTCCTTCAAAATATTACTAGCATTCTCTGCTGGCAGCTCAATCTTGGATGGAGTACTATCTTCCAAACTATCCAAACCCATGAATGAACAGCAAATGTAGGCTTTGGTGGCAGATAGCATCAGATTTTCTGCACTTTTGTAGTTCTTTTTTACAGAGGAATACACATTGGTCATATGAAACAACTGGCGGAGATGGTACAGAGTTCCTATCTCTCTCCCACTCACAGGATTGGGTTCGTATAGTTGTTCCCAAATGTACTTTATAGAGAGTATAAAGTGAAATAAGTACAATTTTGACTATATAGCTTTGAACTTTGTTTATGCACTATATATAAATCTCTTCTTAAAAATTTTTCTTTGCATGTATATATTAACCTACCCCTAGAAAAGATTGCTTTGTGTGCCAAAGTTCTGGAAATTCAGTAATGTTTTGAAACTTGTCAAATTGTTGATCACATCCAAGTCTAGTTTTCTTAGCTCCTGTCACTCTTTCTCTACCCCCTTGAGAATCTTTTCCTTACTGGATGACTGATATTTTGGAGAGTGAACATTAAGCAGAAATTCTTGCATATGATCCAAATACTTGCATACATCAGAATGCTTTGATTGATTAAATGGAAGAATTGGCAAGCTAATGACTGTAGATTTTATGGCCATTTCATTAGAGTACCTGCATGTAAAAAGCACATTTACTCATATATTAATTACAGTGTATACATATTTCTAAATGATCATGCATTCAAAAATTTTGAAAAATCTCTATCAAACCTAGAACAATTTTTGGGAAAAATTTTGTTCAATTATAAGCTGTTGGAAATGTAATTAAATGGTTGAATTGCAATAACCCACTGGGAAGGCTATAACCAGCATTTAAATGATTATACATGCAACTCCTGCAATATCCTGGCATATAATATTTCAAAATATTTAAACAGTGAAGGGACTATAATTCTTTCTTAATCACAGTTCCTAAATGCAATTTATGCAATTTGGAACTGCCTTAATTGATATGGCAAAAACCAACAAATTAACCATATAATATTTGATTTCTAGTCATATGTTGGTTGATGTTTGGATGAATTATGCCACTTTTAACCTGACATTATAATGTTAACTTTGTATAAATACCTATACCTGTGAGGTATATGGATGCAGACATTCTTTTGCAAATAATACAAGCAAGGAAAGAATTCCACTAATACTCTGGATACCAGTACTGTGAAGTCACACTTTAGTTTATTTAGTTCTTCTTGAGATAACAGATATTCTTTGTTTTCAAAACTTTCAATATTGCTAACCAGTGGTGTTGTGTCATCTAGATTTTCAGATGCAAATCTGTCAAATGTGCAATACTGTGCCATCCAATGAATATCTGAGTTCTGGTGATTTTTCAGGATGATATTAGCCAGGATTTTAAAGTCTATATTATCAAAAACAATCCTCAGATTCTTTTTCTTCAACAAAATCAGATCACGAATGGTTGACTCACAATCACTTCCAACATCATCCATAAGGTTGCGAAGATTGTCCCTTGATTGTGTGACACCAAGTTTACCCAATCGCCTGAAAGTCTATTGCAAAAATAAGAAAAATATTCTAACATTAGTTAGTTAATCAATGCTTATAACCTGCAACTACAGTATTAAGCTAATTAATTTATGTTCATATATTTTCACAAGTCCTTAATTTGACAAATTTGACCAGGCTAACAGTTATAGCTATATATTTATCATTTATAATTTACCGATACCTTCTCTGTTGCATGCCAGCTCCAATGACTACAGTATTAATTTTTTGAACCATTGACAACTCTCTGTTTCTGGTATTCATCAGAAGTGCATAAGCCATACAAATTGGTGGTACTTGTCGGCCATCAAGCATTAGATTGGGAGCATCAATTGTAGTTAATACATTTAAAATATCAGGAGCTCTTTCCTTCATCTCATTCAAAATACCTGACCAACAAAATATTTTCGCCAGCTGAGAATGCTCTGATCTTGGTGTACGAAGAATTGATGCAAATTTTTTTGAGCAGAGGCTTTTGCAATCCTTATCGATTTTCTCCAGTATAATTGCTTTCACACATCGCTCTATAACTGGTATGCCCATGATCGCACTGGCTATTTCTTTTGGCGTTGTCTTCATGACAGCTGCACATAACTCTTGCTGTTCGGAAGGAGTTAATAGGGCCACTGTCTCATTCTGTGAGAATGAAATAAACATGAACATAGCCAATAATAGTAGCCAATGTATAAATTTAGTAGAAAATAGAAAATTAGTTGTATATGTACAAAATATATATTGCATTTACCTTATGCAGCACCATTTCATTTAGAATTTCTACTCCTTTTTCCATATCAATAGACCGATCTTTCTTTTGAAATAAGTTTGGGAGTACCCTTTTCGTCTTGGTTAGAGTCCGATTGGAAGGAGAGGACGGCATTTGTAGTGGTATATTAAAATTCGGTGCAAGCCTGGATGTGATCTTGGACTTGGACAGCGAACAAGCCGGTGAGGCGACACCGCAGAAATTGGTGTTGGAAGTCAAATATCTCATCAGTTGCTCACATTTGAATCCTAGTATTCAGAAACTGCTGTCAAAGAAAATACTATCAAATAAGTTGAAAACAAGTTCAATTTTTCTTCCAATATCGGTTTTGGAAACTTTTGAAGGCTCTTCGTATGCATTTGCCACCGTAAAATGGCCATTTTGAGACATTTTCAGATGATTTGTTTTTGCCGTGTGCAAGCTTCAAATCTTTTGTGCAAGAGATATTTTGTTGAGTATTTATAAATCTTTTAGCTTGCCGAATTTAAAGTCTAAGTATTGAGAATTACGGCTAAGTCTACCAATTTCCGCGGTGTCCGGTGAGGCAGGCTTTAGACTAGAAAATCTCAACATCTGATCAATTCTACAGGACGGTGGCTTATAATTAAACTTAGGTGCAAGTGTAATTTTTGCAGCACTCTGTGGCCTGGCTGTATTCTTTGATTTTTTTAGAGGAAGGCAAACAGCAAGTGACTGATCACTGTTTACAATGTTCATATTATTTTCCCCGCTTCCTCAACCTCTTTTAAATCGTTCCCTATCGCAAGCTGATCGATTCGCACTTTCAGTTGCCATGAATAAGCTTTTAAGCTCATGCTCTTTCTTGAGTATTGCCAAAACTTTCAGTTCACATGATCTGCAAACGTACCTTGCAAGCCCATCGTCTTCATGTAACATTTCACTTGGTGAAAATCTTTGCAGACATTTAAGTATGCCTTCTCTGCGAGATTTTGCACCAAACAAGTTGACACGGTGTTTGTCTTGACTAATGTCATTGTTGCAAACTCGGCATTTGCTCTGAAAAGAAGCTGACCCTTTCCTTACAATTTTTTGCGGGGTATTCATCCCTTTTTGACAGTAATTGTTATAATTCCAGGTTTGTTTTTATTTCGAAAGCGCGCGAAGAATGAAGATTTCAACTTTAATCTGATTGGTCACTTTTCAAATCTGGAATCTTGAGTATGCGCAGTTCAAACATTGCAACGACCAATGAAATGAAAGAATAAAATGGATTATGCCAGAGCCCTAAGCTTCCTTCCAAAAGAAACGCGGGCTCTGGGTACGAGATTGATTCACAATGTAAAGAAACAAGGAGTGACGAGCATTGCTTCAAAACATTCTGGGCGTAAAAATCGAGCAATTCTTTGAGAATCTACGCAATTTATCAACTTATGAATTACGAGCATTCAATTCAACACAAATATAATTTGGAAGGTTTATTCTATAAATAGAGCTAAGAGGTTAGGAAGAAACGACGCCGTATTGTTTATGTATTGATAGACTCTTACACGAATGTATATTATGTCGATAGCAAGTCGATACCTGGTATTCTGCATACAGTACATAAATGATACTATACAAAACGGACATTTTGTGCAGTAATCAAATCATTTTGGCTTTATACAGTATTGATTATAAGTATATTGTTTTGTATCGATTTACGCGTCGAAGTATCCACATCATAGACATAATATGCACTGCGGTTTATTTACATTATTTACAACGCAACTATTTTGGCTATTCTTATGAAGTGACGGATAAATTGTAGCCATCATATAAATGTAGTGAATGTAGTCACAGTTGTTTGACGAAGAAAAGAGACTAAACTGAGAAAATCGCGCCCGGTTAGGTTTACATGGGCAACTAAAATTATAATTTATTAGTGACAGTATCCGCGGCTAAAGTAACTTGAGTACTTTGAGTAATTTCCTTTTGATTAATGTTTAACCTAGTTCATTATATTTTTACTGGCATAAGTGAAAATGTTTATGTTGGGACAAACGTCTGGTTGCTTAGGTATTACAGGGCATGGAAACTTTGCACTATCCTTGGATCCCTGGTTTCTGTTATGGTTCCAGTGATGGAGCAAGTACTTATTTCATTTGCTAGCTCTGTCCCACAATATTTGCATTCATCATTACCACTAAGTGCCATGCCACAAAAGCAATAACCAGAGTTGAAGCATCTGTCTGCAATGTATTTATTGTTACACTTCCTGTAACTATCCAGATGTGGATTTTGCTTCCTTAGCCAAATCAGGAACATATACTTATGTCTAAAGACCTTCTCCCATCTATTCTTAACCAGGGAAAACTCGGCAAAGGAGGCAATTTGCTGATGCTTTGACTCTCGTTCTTGCATAGAGTTTATTCCAAGACCCACTCCCAAGTCTTCAACAAGTTGTTTGGTATGAAATGGGACAGCATGTCCCAATGGGCATTCACCTTGATCCCATGGTGAATGCCCATTTTAAAAAGAGACAGAGGAAAAACATTGCTGGGTTTCTCGATATCTTCATCAATGTTTGCTAAGATGAGATATGTGAACCCATCACAAAACTTTTTTGTTTCTTCTCCAGTGAACCTACACTCGAAATTAGACATGGCACGCTTCTCTTTAAACCACCGTATTATTTTGTTGTACAGCCTCTTGCACTGCATTTTAAACTTAAGCACTATTAAATGTTTATGCAAAGGGTTGGTTTCAGGCAAATGGTATACAGATTTTACAGAGTTGCTAATTTTAGCCTTGGTCATGACATGGTTAAAAAGAAGCATGTGCCAATGCCCCCAACAGTTGTTTCCTAAGTGCAAGGGATCACATTTGGCAAGTTGGACCATAGGCCTAAGGAGAGGCTCAAACTCTTGCCTTGACTTCAATTTTTTTGCAAACTTTTTCACCCTGACTTTGAGAAGCATTTTTCACAGGTATTTTCTGAACCTTTTTATACTGTGCAACCTTTTTCGCAATAACTTCTCTAAACTTGTATGAGCAAGGCTGCCATTTGTGATCCAGTCCATTTCCTAAACTGTGCCCCCTCAACTTAAGCTCATCTTTTCTCACATTACCAAAAGGGCATGGGTAAGTGGCTGCATTGTTTAGTTCACCGGAAAATGTGCTAAGCCACTTCATATCAGCTGGTACTAGTTTGATCTCAAACCTTATTACCTGAGATCTTACACTGAAGGTTTTATTTTCTATACTTGTAACTTCATGTTTTAAATGTTTTGCATATTCCACCATTGATGGGTGGTCTTCTTTGCAATTAGCACCGCAAATTAGAAAATTGTGATCAGGGCTTGCTACTTTTTCAACAACATTCAAGAAAGATACAAGCCATGAACAAGCTTCGTTTGATTTTCCAAATGGGGCACCATCTGCCCCCAAGGCAACCAGAAAATGGCCTTTTTCCCAACCTAACCAATTAATAGAACCAGGCACCTGGCTTTCAATATAAAGATATAAATCAGCCAGTTGCAACAAGCGTTCTTCTAAGGCAATGTAAAACCCAGGGATTAATGGCAGAAAGTTATCGCTAATCTCTTCACTTTCTTTCTCAATTTCCCTCTAGGCTAAGGCACGGGGTATGTTATTAAGCTTACCAATATTTTGCTCCCCAACAAATTTCATCAGATCTTTGTACGGAACTAGTGCAGGTACTTTACAGCCTTCATCAAACTCTGTACCCCTACGTTTTTTTTGAACAACATCATAATCAAATATTTCACATGAGCGTAATATTTTCTTTTACTCAACATGCCGCCTTTGTAAAGCACACTTGCAGATCTGACTAAATTTTTGGGGGACTTTTCAAAACTTTTAACTGAGGATGTAACTATTGATGGTATTACATTCTTACCAAATGTGTTAGACTTTCTACACAATTTAGTAATGTCTTTGCTAGGAACACTTGTAACTAGAGTGTGCCATAGTCCATAGTTAGTAGCTGATTTTGCTTTTTCATTGGTATATTTTGAAGTCGCATGGATATTTTGCACTGCAGCATATGTTAGTTTCCTTTTCTTACATGCAAGATTATGAGAGATGCCAATTACTTTATCACTGTTGTTCTCGTCCAGTTTGGTTGGGACTGCATCTGCACTACTTCCTTTTGGCATATGTACTTTCTCATTCTTAAGCGAACCTCGCTGCAAATTGAAAACATGAAATTATACATGTTTTCTTGTAAGCAGAAGACAGAATGGCTCCTACCTATTTATTTACCCTGCTTAATGCCTGGTGATTTTGCTTGTTGACTGATATTTGACCCCTGCATCTTACTCATTCATTACACTGTGCATGGCTGTATGCAGTGTTGGAAGCTCATAATCAGGGGGGTTACTTTAAAATAACAACATGATAACATTTTATATATTTATTGAAATGCAGGATATAGTACATAACAATACAAATCTATTAACCCATATAAA